AGCAGGCGGTCAGGAAAGCTTGCTGGAAGCACCAATGAGACTGGGATGCGGTGACTGACACCGGACGAGGTCATGATGCAGACGATCGTGGTCTGGCGCTGGCGCGGCCAAGTGTACAAGCAAGAGCATGCGCTTGAACCAAATAGGTGTAGGAGCTCGGCCCACATTGAGCAACACTGACGTGCGTGCCGGACTGCGGCCCGCCGTTACCGAGCGCCCCGCGGCAGTGCCTCTCTAGCTGGGGGGTTGATTTGGGAGCGAAGTAGACGACAATGGCGTTACACCCTCACGTTACACAGCTGAGCGTGCTTCTCATCGCGCCATTTGTGGCGCCTCTCTCCTCGCAGGGATCCAAATCGGTGAACGGGGAAGGGCGCTGCCACATGTACCTTCATTTTGTGGTACCTCTGGCGCCGATCGTTGGTGCATGGCACTTCTTTGACGTGAACGAACACGCCTGGATAAGAAAATCGTTACAGTAATTTCCCCAAGGCACGGCACCCGAGAAAACTCTCATGCTATTGCAAGACTATTGCTTAGGCACGCCCTAAACTTGACACGGGAGATCACGGGGCCCAACTCTAAATTGGGACGGACACCATCCGCCGCCGAATCTTACGTGTCATGCTTGTCTTACGCAAACTCATTGTCCGGGCACTCTCTCGAGTGACGGCCTTCGCACTGGGGATATCATACAAACGGGTTGGATGACATATTCTCAAATGGTGTGGCACCCCGCAGTGGCACATTTTTATAAGCAAGAAAATATGGCCTACAGAAAGGATATAGTAAGCAAAACCGTCGGAAACATCTAAAAGTAAGAATGAAGAGTTGCCAGAGCAGGCTGTCATATCCTCCTCAACATCAGCATCTTAAGCGGTCAAATACATTTATCTTGACTCACTGGAAAACCTGTAAATATGGAAGAACTACTTTACGCACGTACAGCCACCAATGTGCCATGCCAACGCATGATTCCATTTCGCAAATCATAACCTATTTCATGGGACTAGGTCTTTAACTGGACCATTCGAACAAAACCTGTTTTTGACGACGACAAATCTTGCCAAGCCACCCAGGCTTCGCTGACAGGTAGCCGAGTGGACGTTAGGGGCTGATGATAAACGAACTAGCCTAATTCAAGGGTACGGGAGGGGGGGAAGAAGGAGGTACCATTGACGAACACAGCACTGCGCCACAACAGAACAGCATTATCGGAAACTGATGTCATGTATATATATATATATATATATATATATATATATATATATATATATATACATACACGACGTTTGATCGCTTCGACAACTGCATGGGGTCATCAAGATTTTCTTTCAATTATTTTTCGGCCGTTCAGATATTCTCGACGAAGGAATACAAAACTGGACCTGAGACTTTGTTCTGGTAACCCAATGAAAGCCAACAGTGTTAAGGTGCCACCGCCAGCGGGCGCCCAAGGCCGGCAAATGGCAGCACTAGTCCCCGCCCGGCTCGATCCAGCAGCAGTGCCACCACCAGCGGGCGCCCGAGGCCGGCAAATGGCAGCACTAGTCTCCGCCCGGCTCGGTCCAGCAGCAGTGTTAAGGTGCCACCGCCAGCGGGCGCCCAAGGCCGGCAAATGGCAGCACTAGTCCCCGCCCGGCTCGATCCAGCAGCAGTGCCACCACCAGCGGGCGCCCGAGGCCGGCAAATGGCAGCACTAGTCTCCGCCCGGCTCGATCCAGCAGCAGTGTTAAGGTGCCACCGCCAGCGGGCGCCCAAGGCCGGCAAATGGCAGCACTAGTCCCCGCCCGGCTCGATCCAGCATGCGATCTCGCACGGACAAGGACAACGGCTCTTTGTACCACTAGCTGAGCAGACCAGAGCCGTGGCTACAGTCAAAAACAAATACAACAGATAACACCGACAAAACGCAAAATTGCACCGCTCCAAGACGCCATTAGTCGAAATGGGGAATCGGTCGCCTTTTCTAGTCCAGTGTTCCTTCCCAAGCATGCATACTACCAATGGATCACATGAATGTACACTGCAGATACCACAGCCCAGTCAACAAGTTTCAGGCGTCAAACCACCCGTATCAACGATTTGCGCCGAGCACAAAGGACCTTTTCCACGCAGGTCTCGTGGGAAGAGCACAACCAAGCAGTAATGACTTCCTGTCACTACGGCTGTTCCTCCTCATCAGCGTCCTGCTCGATGATGCAGCCCTGATCGTAAGCCAGATGTCACAGGTTTGATATCGACCACCAGGCGTGTTTCGATCCTACACTACAGCCACCGGCGAGAGTGCGCCGCCCATGACCACTACCCACCAACGAACGGTGGAACAAAGCAAACCAGCGCCGCATCTCTCCGACTTATCGTAACCACCGTGGTTGACTGAGGGCTACGGCACTGTTGCCAGTGCAGGCAGAACAAGCTTGTCAGTCAACAAATAACGCACCCTGACTGCGGCTGGCGAAAGGTAATATCTACGATCATAGTTTGCCATTAGCTAGGGAGCCAACCGGTCCGAGCGACGTCCGCGACCTCCATGGCGGCAGAGCATCGCTCCAACGGCTGTTACGTACGCGCACGACGGAGTGACTGTATGCAAAGGGAATAACGAGGGACCTGGGCTATGTCAGAAGGTGTTAGCATGGTGAGATCGCTTGGTCTCATACTGTCTCAGTGACCAGCGACTCTCGATATCCCCGCCCTCCCTCCGAGTGAGACCGCCCCGCACCTGCGGTGCCAGCCACCTCACCTGCCACCCGCCCTCCCTTCCTCCCTCCGAGTGAGACCGCGCCGCACCTGCGGTGCCAGCCACCTCACCTGCCACCCGCCCTCCCTTCCTCCCTCCGAGTGAGACCGCGCCGCACCTGCGGTGCCAGCCACCTCACCTGCCACCTGCCCTACCTTCCTCCCTCCGAGTGAGACCGCGCCGCACCTGCGGTGCCAGCCACCTCACCTGCCACCCGCCCTCCCTTCCTCCCTCCGAGTGAGACCGCGCCGCACCTGCGGTGCCAGCCACCTCACCTGCCACCTGCCCTACCTTCCTCCCTCCGAGCGAGACCGCGCCGCACCTGCGATGCCAGCCACATCTGCCACAACGATGTAGGAGGACAGTTTGGACTTCAATTTCCCAAATCCCCAAATCGCCTGACATCTAACGCGACCAGCGCCAAACACAAACTCCGAGCCCCGGACGCCACCCGGCCGAGTGGGGCCAGGGCCACCGCCATCTGATCTCCGAGGGCACATCAATAACAGTGACGGCCACCCAGCTCCTCCGTGACCGCTGAAACCAACACAAACCGTCTAGTTATCCGCCCGAGAGCCCGAACCACCCACGGGCAAGCCGCACCCGCTGCGAACTCCCTCAGAGCTCGCGGCGGGCGCCAGCCCGGCCCGGCCCGGCCCAGCCCGGCCAGCGTCAGCGGCGGCACCGGCTCGCGCCCGCCGCACCGCCGGCTGCGAGCGCACTAGCAGCGTGTCTCGTGATGCAGGCCGGTGTCCTCGTCCTCGGGTACCGCGCTAAGCTGCGGTGAGTGTCCGCTAGACGCGGGGCGCTCGGAAGACGGCCCGGCCGTGGGCCACTCGCCCAGCAGGCGAGAGAGGTCCTCCAGCGACACCTCCAGGTTCTCCGACGGTCGCCGCAGCCGCCGCTGAATCAGCAGCTCCATCATCTGACGGCGCCGCGACCGGGTCAGCGACGAGGTCAGTTGTGGGATCAGCGGTAGGGTCGGCGGTGGGAGTCGGGGGCGGGGTCAGGGGCAGGAACCAATGATGGGATTAGCGGTAGGGTTAGCGGTGGGAGTCGGGGGCGGGGTCAGGGGCGGGGGTCAGCAGTGCGGTCAGCGCTGGGGACAGCAACAGCCAGGGGCGGGGTGAGGAGCGGGGTCATGGGCGAGGTCAGGAAAAGGATAGAGGCGGGGTTAGCGCTAATCAATCACTTTCTGCTTGGTCGTCAAGTGGTTGGTGATGAGATGAATCAGAAACGCAAGGTTCCAGACTGTAATAACTTGGCACGAACCTTGTGAACCCGAAATGGTTGTAGCATGGCAAGGCAGGCCACATGGTTGTTGGATTATGGCCCATGGTGGCCATAATTAACAACATAGTAATAACATAGTAATAAAGGTACGCAATAATTATCGCTCCGAAGAGCTCTGTCATGCATTAGACTTTGAAACACGCCTTCTGTAGACCTTTCAACCGTGCATCCAATAGAGCCTCATAGCCTCCGCATCTTTGAGCCTTTACCAGCCTCATACCGTATTGCCCTGGTTGCCTCTATCCCCCCCCCCCCCCCCCCCCAACAGGTATCTGCTGTAGTGATTCCTGACAACAGTGGGCGCAGAAGCTGCTGCAGAGCACTCATGCAGCGGTGACCTGCAGTACTGCACGCCCCCCGGCCCGGCGGACGGCGGACCGTCACCGAGCCTCCCGCCGCGCGCCACCTCACCTGATAGTCACCGTCCTCGGCCGTTGTCAGATGATGCTGGGTGCCGGGCGAGCCCGGCCGCAGCGTCTGTTCGGAGGTCACCGCCACAGGGCCGAGCTCGACGCGACAGCGCGACTCCAGACTGTCGGTGATGCTGCGGTACTCGCCCAGCGGCAGGTCGAGCGTCGGCGAGCTCGGCGGCAGCACGTGGATTTCCGGCCGCGGCCAGACCGGCTCGGCGCCCGGCGGCGGCGCCGAGAGCGTGCGCCGCAGCGCTGGCGGCGTCGGCTCGCCGCCCTCCGCCGGCTCGGTGGCCGGCGGACCGGCGCTGACAGCGCCGGCGCCACTGGCGCTGCTGGCGCTGCTGGTGCTGCAGTTGCTGTCGCGGCGCGTCACGCGCGCGGCCTCGGACCGCGGGCGGCGGCGACGCGGGCCCGTCTGGGAGAGCGCGATCCGCGCCAGCTCCCGCACCATGGTGCTCTGGTGGCCGTCGACTGTCTCGCGCTCGGCGCTGCCGCCGCGCTCGCTGCCGCTGGGGCCGAGAGCCTCGCTCCCGCCGCCGCTCGCACCGCCCTCACCGGCTGTGAAGCCGCCACCTGCACCGCTGCCGCCAGCGCCGCCTCCTCGGCCGCCGGCGCCGTCTGCGCCCCCTGCGCCGGGCGGCTGGTAGTCGTCGCTGCCGGAGCTGACCTGGCGCAGGCGGTCCAGACCCTCCATCTCGCTGCCGCCGAGGCCGGTGTGTTGGCGCAGCATGAGGTGGGTGTGCCGCGCCAGCCGTTCCACGCCTCCAAACATCTCCTCGAGCCGCTTCAGCCGGTAGTCGACCAGGCGTGTGGCCTCGACCTGCACGCGCTCACGCAGCAGTACGTCCTCCAGCCGCTGGTACGCCAGCTCCTGACGCTCCCAAGTCTGCTGCACCTGGGGCACGGCGCAGGGCAGTTAGGCGTCCGTCCGCGCACGGCCGGGGCTCCAATGGGAATACGCACCGATGATGTGACCAGCCCCCCCAGGCAACGCCCCCCCCCCCCCAAAAAAAAACAAAACACCACAGGCATGTCAGAAGCTGACGACAGACACGCTAAGGAGGCAAAGCACACCTGAATATTCACCTGGACATTCACGTTCACATCGCAGCCTCCCCCTCCCCTGACGACCATACGCCGATACAGATGTACCCCGTCTCCAACAATAGGCATGACAAGTGCGGGCAATGCAAATGTGCAATACAGTGGCATATTAACCGAACGTGTATTAGGGAATTATCCATAATGTTTATGGTTCACGTCTTTCCACAGTACCAAAAGAGACCAACAGCAACGACCTCACATTGGGCTGTCATTTTGCACCCTCGGGCATTTCCGATGACCACTGGCAGCTCTTACTCCACGCACCGCTTCCTGAGCTCAGCCTGGCCCCATACAAACCCCGCAGTGCGGGGCAGGAGCCTCTTACCAGCCGCTCCGTCTTGTGCTGGCTTTCGTGCTCCTTTTGGCGGAAGTACTCCTCGAGGCACTCTTCCTCGAAGTCGTGCACGTTTTCGAGCGCCTCTTCGTCAAGGAAGAGCTTCAGCCCCCGGTCGTAGCTGGCCGAGTCGCGACGGCACTGATTCAGGCACAGCTTCAGCAGCATGTACAGGTGCGAGAACACGATAAACGGCGGCGGGCAGACCGGCCTCAGTTCGTACTCCATCACCAGACGATAGCGCTGGAACATCCACACCTCGTGCGCCACCGCGTTCACGCCGGCGAAGATGTTGTTGAAGACGGCGATCATCAGGTTGAGCATGAGGATGTTGGCGACGAGCAGGTAGCCGGCCATGGCGACGACGGTGATCCAGAACTCACAGGCCTCCAAGCCGGGCCCGTCACCGCACTGCTCGGGCTCGATCTCCGGAGCGTACACCTCACCGTACAGCATGAAGTACGGCTGGTAAAACACATGGCGCAGCAGGTACCAGCTGGGCTCCGAGTTGGGGAAGCGAATGGACTGACGCAACACGCCGAAGGAGAAGAGGATGATGACCAGCAGGATGATAAAATGCAGCATCTTCACCAGCATCTTGCCCACCATGGTTACCATCGGGCCCAGATACTTCTCCACGCTGAAGATCTCGAACAGACGGATGTGCCTGTGGGGTGAGAGCACACTTCGTCTGGCCCGACCACGCAAGCAACCAGGCAAACAGCACGTGCAGCCCACAAGTGGGCCGGCATAGCACATACAGTGGACGACGCATTCGCACGCCGGCCGTGATTCACACCAGCCGGCAGTTCGGTCCTCGCACTCGCATTGTGAACTGTCGCAGCCTGGTCGAAAGCTACAAATGTCACAGATTTCAAGTCGATGGAAGCAGGCACAAATCACAGAGGGCACCAATAGCTGGCCTGCTGGAGGCGTTGGTCGGGGCGGCAGCGGGCGGCGACACGCACCAGTACATGTTGTTGCAGCAGATGATGGAGCGGCCCCAGCGGAAGGTGGACGGCTGAAACCGCAGAGGCTGGGCCAACAAGTACGTGACGATGAAAATGGCGTCGCAGATGTTCCAGAGCCGACCAAACCAGTGCCCCAGCTTCATGCTGTGGGCACCAGGAGAACATTGCTCATACACTGGCAGTCTGGGACACGTGCGTTCAAATGGTAAAGCCAGAAACAGGAATGAGGAGAGGCCACTGATACAAGCTGTCATCATAACTGCGGCCATTAAGAAGAATATCGACGATCGAAGTGACTGGGAGTCGATCTAAGCACCACTTAACCCAGCTGGGAGCATGATTTAAAAGTGGTCACTGACAAACGCTCATCATCATCACCCATACGCCTACTTCGCAAAAATCAGCAAATACCTTAAGGACAGTAAGCCACACATACATAGCCCAGGACAATGCTATTCAAAATTGGTGACTACCTTCTAAATGGTTATTAATGAAAAGCTATCCCCTGAATCAAGTTTTCAGCGAGTCCACTGGATGATTGCGTGCAACATTCTTGAAGATCTTTCATGTGTTTGTTGGCCTGTATGCTGTATAGGGTACCGAGAAGCCAGCTGGTAGCTAGTAGTAACCGTACAAGAGCAGGGAAACCAGCAAACGTTTCGACCAGACGCCCTCCTCGTCATACTGAAGAGCGCTGATCCCAAGATCTCACCAGAGATGCTCATCACTCTATATGATGTACTGGCCACAACCATCGGGAAGGCCAGCAATTCACCAACCAGCCACCGAGAGCCTGTTCAGGGAGCAGCCATACCAGTGTCACAGGTCCCCCCGCCGTAAATATATAAGGGACACCTGCCACAGAACCAGCAAACTCTCAGAGAACTGTATCTGCGTCCATCCATCGGTTGACAATGACCTGTGGCTTACACGCGTCCGACATTGCCCGCGCCATGCATTGCTTTTTAGTGCGATATTTGTCATTGCTCAAATTTCTTAAGTAATTGGACATGATAGTACCTACAGTTTTTACCTTTCAGAATTTTCGAAACAGGCGATATCGGTGACCTGAGGTGAGGTCCGTTGCTGCTTTTTCGTAAGTAATGCAAATTTGTAAGAACTTTTGTGTAGTTTGGGTGTTTTCATGTGAGAAAAAGAGGTCTTACTCAACCGCACCAACTTAATTGACCACAGAGCACGTGACATTGGCCTAGGCCACGACCTACCCGTAAGGGTGCCTTCTGCAACACATGCCAAGCTCAAAATAAGCAGTTTTAATAGCTAATTCTGGGCGCAAAATTCGAATATTCCACTGAAAACATGCTGTAATATTCTAATACATCCTGAGGTCAGAGTAGGTCACGTGAGAACATTCCAGGTCATATGGGGTCATCCAAGGCCAATGACCTCTATTTTCAGTAGCGGAGAGGCTAGACGCAATGAGTGCGACGCGTGTAACCACCTGTACATCCTGTTTAGGAAGCCGATGACGGATAATTTCATGTACCAACGTGCCTGTTCTCAGTTTTACAAATGCATTCAGAGCGTCGAAAGAAGTATGCATTACGTATACATAAGATATGCGATGTTGAGTGCTCTAGATGCACAACACATCATTTGTGGGCAGAAAAAAACAATCCTTGCACTGGTCACTAAACCCTGATTAGCACTTCAGCTTTCTTGCATCTGGATAGTTTGTGAATTTGACCTAAGTTAACCTCAGCTGACCTCTTAGGTCAGTATAAAATTTTGTGTCTGGGATACTTTTTCCCAGCCGCACCTACCAAAATAAATTCAGTCAAAAGCACATTGTGAAAAAAAAACTTTCCTTTCGTGACCCCCGGTGACCTTAAATTCGACCATAGTTCAAAAATTTGGTGTGATTTGACGAGACCTACACGACGGTATCTTTGTTTAGCTTGCACGACGTCTGGAAGTTGGAGATTCCAGCTGGGAGTCGACTACCCCGGACGGGTGCGGTTGTCTCAGGACCTGCGACACGACGCAGATTAAAAAGAACAGAATGCGTTCAGCTTTCATCGGCATATATTGCTTTCTTCGGCACATATGTGCCTGTTCTCAACGTCTGGTCTCTTCAAACCGATTCAGACTCACTTCTCCGGCGCCTCCCGCCTTGTAGGACGTGCCGGACATGGCGCCCGGCCCTCACTCTCCCACTCAGTGCTCTCTCACCACCCTCCTCTCCCGCCCTCGCACCACCCTACTCCCGCCCTCCCACCACCCCCTCCCACTCTCTCACCGCTTTCCTCCCCACCCTCTCACTGCCCTCCTCCCGCCCTCTCACCACCCTCCTCCCGCCCTCTCGCCGGCCCGCTTCACCTGAGTGTGACGGGCTCGGAGGCTAGGATCTCGCGGACCTTCTCGATGCCGACGGTCAGGAGGAAGGCGGTGACGTACACCTCCTCCCAGCGCGGCGTCGGGTACATTTTGACCAGAACCACGTACGTGTAGAGCGTCAGGAACACAACGTACGCCAGCTGCGGCGGAGGGACGGGCAGCTCAGGTGTGGACCGGGAGGCGAGCAACAGATCGTCATCACCCACCGCAGTCTGTCGCATCGACCGCAGCAGGCAACAGGGCGCAACAACCGTCCAATACTCTCAGATCCACAACCCTTCAGTCCAATGACAGACACCGGCCTGAGCAAGACAAGCACCGCATCACGCGCCCGTGGTGCCAATGACAATCACGGCAGCGTGCAACCGTGGCGCGCGTGACGAGCACCGCATGGCGCGCCCGTGGCGCCCGTCACGAGCACCGCAGCGCGCAACCGTGGCGCCCGTCACGAGCAACGCAGCGCGCAACACGTGGCGCGCGTGACGAGCAACCGCAGCGTGCGCCCGTGGTGCCCGTGATGGCCACCGCAGCGCGCGCCCCGTGGCGCCCGTGACTGCAACGGCCCGGCAGTTCTTCGCCGCGGCGACGTCCGCCCGATCCGGCAGCGTACAACGCTCACCGTGAAGCTTCCAGAACTTGGCGATGGGCGCCGTGTAGAACTCGTAGATCTTCTTACGCAGCCAAGCTGCCCGTTCTTACGTCCGTCAAGCAGGTCGGGGCATGCCGGACGGCGTCGGCGGGGTATGCCGTGGCCTGCAGAGAGCCCTGGCGAGAGACCGAGACCCCGCGCGGCGACGGCTGGAGACAGGGCCCTGCTAAGAAGGAGATCGTGACACAGAAATCTGACGCGGACAAGGGGTTGGAGACGGGACCCTGCCCAATACGGAGATGGTGGCACAGAGACCCGACGCGGACGTGGGCTGGAGAGACGGGGCCCTGTCGAGATCGGATGGTGGCACAGAGACCCGACGCGGACATAGGCTGGAGAGACGGGGCCCTGTCGAGATCGAGATGGTGGCACAGAGACCCGACGCGGACATGGGCTGGAGAGCGGGGCCTGCCGGGACGGGCTGGTGACACAGAACATGCACGGGGACAGGTCCTGGCGGCAGCGCAGCGGCACGGCAATACCCCCAAAACCCCCCCAACCCGGCGCGGCGGGTAGGACGGCGCACTCATCGACGGTGGTCGGGTCCTCATCGTCCTCGTCCGAGCCGTTCGTCCTCCTCGCCCTGCTGCTCCATAGGTGCTCCTCCTCGGTCTGTGGCATCTGGCGCAAGCTCTCCGTGTCCGAAACTCCAGCTGCAGCATGGCCGGCGGGAAGAGCACTGACAGCAGCACTGCAACATCACAGGGGGCTGCAAATCGAGAGTAGCTCTCCTGGCGACCGCCTGCGGCTCTCAACCCGATCACGACACAAACGAGAGTTCCTTGAGAAGCAGAAAAGCCCTGACCTGAAACTGGCGCGCCACTTGACCGACAATACATCGCGCGCCCCAAGCTGACACCGCGCAGACCCGCGGGCGGCCGGGAGGGGACTT